GTAAGTCTGAGAGGCTAAACTCAGTGGCTGTTAACATACACCTATATAGCACACTAGAGAAAGCAGGATGTGGCTCATAATTGCAATGGTGAAGACCTGAGAATACAGCTACTAATTAGCATCTACATGGAGGATTGACATAAGGTTCATGTTAAGGGTGTCACATCTGCTTGAACTCACAAACTTATACTATAGAGAATCAAAGGTCCTACACTAAGTCTATGGAAATACTCATTGTGGTAAATTGTAACAGAATGAATCCCCAGACTTGCTTCAAGTAACTGACATTTCAACTTGAAAGGACATTGCCAAGGTTGGAGGCCCGCAAGTTTCCTTTTGTTCCAGATCTTGGTGTGGTGGCACTGGTGTCTCTGATGTGGTAAGTTTTGGTTTTCTTCCATTTTCTTTCTAAATGATCACTAGAGTAGAGAAGAGTTAAATAGATATGACCTATGACCCCTTCAATGTAACAAACCAGGGCCAGCTGAAATGAAAGTTCTTTTCATAATGGTTACTTTCTGACATTAAAAAGATTTAGGAAATATTTGGATACATAAACTAGACATGGTTTTTATGTCTTTGTTCTAGACAAAAAGCAGCAGCATGTATATTTTTTTTAACACAAACCTGAACTTTATTATTAAAGTACTAGAGGCCTGGTGCATGAAATTCATGCACGGGGGGGGGGGGCGTTTCAGCCCAGACTGTGCCCTCTCGCATTCCAGGAACCCTCGCTCCTTACTGCTCACCTGCTTGCTGCTCCTTACTGCTCAGCTTGATTAGCACTGCTGTGGAGGTGGGAGAGGCTCCTGCCACCACTGCTGCACTCACCAGCCGTGAGCCTGGGTTCTGGCTGAGTGGTGCTCTCTGTGGGAGTGCACTGACCATCGGGGGCAGCTCCTGTGTTGAGTGTTTGCCCCCTGGTGGTCAGGGCACATCATGGTGACCGGTTGTTCCACTGTTCATTCCTCCTTTTGGTCGATTTGCTTATTAGGGTTATATTATATAGGATTGGGGCTACTAGTGTTGGTATGAAGCAGTCTTTATACTGTCTAATTTAGCATTCAAAAATATACTGGTTGAACTTTGTAACTTCCAGTTTTGTAAAATTTCCTATAGAGCAGCAAGAGCTGAAATAGAGCTTTAATATGTGAGATTTGTGTTTCAGTGGCAGATACTGGGACGGGTGAAGGAATGACTCTTGGCCAAAAGACTTGAGTCACCAAGCTGCCATGCCTGCTAACTGCCGACTCCCTGCTGGGTGAAGCTGAGGCGGTGCTGCCCAGGTCGGGCAGCGTGTGAGTTGCCGCTGAAGGGCAGAAGAGGCCTCCCCCTTTGGCTTCTCATCCCAGGATGCCCACGTGTCCATGAGAAGGTCTGGGTGATCTCACTGAACCCAGATAAGCTTGTCACCTCTGACTCCATTCACCAGCTGGAGTTCCATTCCCAGGTGACATGTCTTCATCAGTGACTTCAGAGCCACATTTAGCTGTGGATGCCGAGGAAATCCCTCAGCAGAGATTTTCTGATGGAAGCAGTGCACTAAGGACAACCGGGCCCTTCTCTGCTACTCTCAGAGGGCCATCATTCCTCACCCCTCCAGGCATCATGAAGAATTCTTTACATTCTTATTCTCTGCTTCATTTCTCCATGGCTCTGGTGCTGAAAAAAGGAAGGCATAAAAGTGTACAGCTGGGGTTCCTGGAGATGGAATTCCACTATGCTCAGCTACTTGAGTGAGCCTAGGATCCCTGGTGCCATTCATTTGTATATTCATATAGCACACACTCACTGAGGACTATCTATATGCCCCCAATGGGATTTGGCACATTGATGTATTGGGGCAGGTGGAGACAGACCTGATTCAGTCTCTCTCTGAGCAACTGCTCTAGGAATCCACTGTGGGGATGTTAGGCTGGAGCCCAGAAGGCATTAGGGAGCATATGACCAAAGGAGGCAGTAAGAGGTATAGAAGGAGCTGATTCCTGAGGGAGAGAGTGTAAACTGTAAAGATGAGACTAAAGTTTGAATCTTGGGACATTAATCAAAGTGAGTCTTAAAACTTGATTGTTGATGATTTTTTGTTGTTTTGTTCATCTTCACCTAAGGATATTTTTTCACTGATCTTTTAAGTGTAAAAGAGAGGGAAAGGCAGAGAGAAACATTGATGTGAGAGAAACACATTGATTGGTTACCTCCCGCACATGCTCCAACCAGGGCCCGGACAAGGTACATGACCATGACTGGAATTGAACCCGGGACCCTTTGGTCTGCAGGCTGATGCTCTGTTCACTGAGCCAAACTGGCTAGGGCTGACTGTTGATGATTTTAAGTGGAAAAATTGAGTAAATAGGATGGGTTGCCTACAAGAGTACTTTTCTACAAGGAATGGTCATATATACTTGTTTTAGAACACCCGGGACAGCGGAGGTGGTGGGTGGTCACCTCCTTTTCTTGTGGCCCAAGAACTTAGGTTTCCAGGAATTTGACTAATTGAGCCACTGGAGATTTAATACAACAGGGCTACCCAGATCCCTTTGTCTTGATTTGCTTTAAAAACCAAAGATGATAGGAGAAGGCAAGCAAGGGAAATATATTAATCCCAAGAATTGAACAGAGCAAAAAATTCTGTTGCTCTGTACCTAAAACATCTCCCCATGGGCTCATCCCTTACACTCTAGTCTAGATGGTTCATAGGTGTACATTCCATGCCTCCACTTAGCATCTGTTTCTTATGTTCTAGCTCCAAACCTATCAAAACCTTTCCTTGCCCTTCCAGGTGTTTCCAGTGCTGTGCACTTGCTCTTAGAACCCCTTGCTTTCCACTCTTCTATAACCCCTACTTATTGGAACGTAGTACTAAGGACCTTAGTCTGTCAGATCAGAGTGCTTGGTGAAGAAGAAGAGGTTTTCATCAGGCCTATCTCCGGCTCCCAGTTTTAGCCCGGAACTTCACAGTTGCAGTGTGCTCACAACTGTTTTTGCTGAACTGAGGTGCACAGTCTCCTTGGGAAGAGAGGATCTGTGCATAGACCGGCTGGGGAGCTTGCCCCTGCAGGGGCCTGTGAACTAGTCATGTATTAGAATGCCCAAGAATGACCTCATAAAGCAAAGATTCTCCTCGTGGATCCTTCTCTGAGGTCTTTGGAATCTAGATGCCGAGGAAATCCCTAAGCAGAGATTTCCTGTTAGACGACAAAAGCGAGGAATAAAAATTGAACATTGGGAAAATGTCTCGACATCATATCCGCCTAAGGATCATTCCCAGTACCCTGTTGGATAATGCATTGATGTTCTGGGAAAGAATCAGGACATTTCAGTAAATATTCTCTATTTCTATTGCTTATTAAGAAATGTGCAGTAGCAGTGGTAGCAGGGTGCCAGTGCTCTCAGCCTTTCCCCACAGGCACTCATCCATTTCTTAGATTGAGATGCACGGCCTCGATGACCTGGTTTCTCTGGTGAGGTTTTACGAAGGCTCAGCCAAACATTTTACTTCTTTGGCTTTAGTATCACGACTGGCTGGTTGAGTCAAATATTCAGTCATGCTCTTACTTGGCCTGTAGACTAAATGAGTAGTTTGACTTCATTTTGTCTTTTTTTTGTTAACTACTTTGTTAGATTTGAATGCCTTTTTTTTTTTGATAATTGACCCTATCTCAAATCAGATAAATTGAATATCTTGTTTTTATACAATATAAAAGTTTATACATTCTGTATTTTTTTTTACTGTGTGAGAATTTGTTATATTTAATAAAAAAAAGTTACACTCTTAGAGAAAAATTGCAAAGCACAGGTAAATATAAACAAACAGGAATAAGAATCACCTGCAACCTCACCACTATCAACATTTTGGCATACTTCCTGCCAAGTTTTCTTCTACTCATTTTTGTACAGTTGTGATAATTTTGAGTAGAGAATTTTATATCTTATTTTGTTTTCGTATTGAAATTTTTTTTTTTTTTTTTTGCCGAAACCGGTTTGGCTCAGTGGATAGAGCAGCGGCCTGCAGACTGAAGGGTCCCAGGTTCGATTCCGGTCAAGGGCATGTACCTGGGTTGCGGGCATATCCCCAGTGGGAGATGTGCAAGAGGCAGCTGATTGATGTTTCTCTCTCATCGATGTTTCTAACTTTCTATCTCTCTCCCTTCCTCTCTGTAAAAAACCAATAAAATATATTAAAAATTTTTTTTTGTATTGATTTGAGAGAGAGAGAGAGATGGAATCGACTTGTTTTACTTATTTATGCATTCATTGGTTGAATCTTGTATGTGCCCTGACCGGGGATCAAACCTGCAACCTTGGTGTATTGGGACAACACTCTAACCAATTGAGCTACCCAGCAAGGGCTGCTTTTGTGTTTTGCTACCCAAAGGATCATAAACATTTTTCTAAACCATGAAAAATGGATAGACATATTTTAGTATCTGTATAATATTTCCTGAGATGGATGTGCTATAACTTACTTAACCAGTTCTTTTTGTTAGACTTTTGAATCATGTCTAAGTTCTCACTACTGTGAATAATGCTGGGATAAACACACTTGGCCCACGTCACTGTTTGTATTCTTTTGTCAGATTGTATTCTTTTGGGGTAGATTCCTTGAGTCAGAGGATAGGAACAGTTCTAAGGCTTTTCAGAAAAGTATGAATTTACATTTCCCCTGGCCGTTTATGAGAATGCTCCAACACACTATACTCTTGCCAGCATTAAATATTATCATGTTTAAGACTTTGCTAATTTTATAAACAAAAAGAATGGTTTTACTTATTTTCCATCTCCCTGATTAGTAGTGCTACTGAACATTTTGGGGAAAGTTCATTGGCATTTGTATTTTCATTGATTTGTAAGCACCGGTCTGGGTGATTATTTGATTTTTACCTGTTTTCCTTACTAGACTGACAGTATTTAGTTTTGCTCATTTTATACCTCGTGTGCCCACTGTAATGTCTGGCATGTAGTAGGAACTCAATAAAAATTTGTCAGATGCGTAAATAATGATGATGCTTTGTTTGTTTGAGAAGGAGTGGTTACTATTCTGTTTCAGAGGTCCAGAGAGAAAGAACTGAGAAACTGAATGAGATAGTGATCATCATACATATTTCAGGACATTCAGTCAGTATTTCATTGCAATTTTAAACTATATATAAACTTATATTCACAGAAGGGGGAAAGTAAACTCTAATCCAGTGATAGCAAACCTTTTGAGCTCGGCGTGCCAGCATTTTGAAAAACCCTAACTTAACTCTGGTGCTGTGTCACATATAGAAATTTTTTGATATTTGCAACCATAGTAAAAGAAAGACTTATATTTTTGATATTTATTTTATATATTTAAATGCCATTTAACAAAGAAAAATCAACCAAAACAATGAGTTCGAGTGTCACCTCTGACATGCGTGTCATAGGTTCGCTATCACTGCTCTAGTCCCTACAAAAAACTATTTACTCTTTGGGGATCTTGCTGTGTTGTGAGATAATCATACCTCTTATTCAACTTTTTGACAGGAGGAAAGATACTCAATGTCAGGCATTTGTGAAGAGAGTCATAACGAGTAATCTGTTTAAGAAAATTATGATTAGCACCATCTCAATTAATGCCTTTTTGGTGGTCTTATGGACTGATTATGAAACAAGATACAGGTTTTTCAGAGTTTTTGAGGTAAGCAGACCAAATGATCTTTTTTTTCCTTTCTATTTCACCGGTTTTAATTCTGAAAATGTTATACAGTTTTTAAGGTATTTTGTTCAAGAAAATTTTCTGTAGAAAAATTCTAAGGGCTTTTAAAATATGCTCTAAAATCTAGGAAGATGGTGACAGTGGTGCCATGGTTTTTTAATTTCCCTGAATCCCCTCTTAGAAAAGATAGAGCAACCAAATAGCAAAAGCAAAAACCCATGGGCAGCATTTGCATCAAAACTAGTTAACAAGGTATCCTTACAAAGAGTCACAATTGTATAGTATTAGCCTTGGTGGCAGAGGAAGCAGTAAGAAGCAACTTGTCACATACAGGGAATCTTCAATGAGATTAGTAACTGAATTCTCAGAAACTCTGGAGGTCAGAAGGCAATGAAATGACATATTTAAAATACTGCAGGAAAAATATTGTCAATTAAGAACTTTATATCCATATATAAAATTAACACCCAGAAGTCTATGGCTTTTCTATACACCTATAATGAACTCACAGAAAGAGAAATTAAAAAAGCAATCCAATTTACCATTACAACAAAAAATTAAGATACCTAGGAATAAACTTAACCAAGGAGATAAAGGACCTGTACTCAGAAAATGTCAGAATGCTGAAAAAAGAGATAGAGGAAGACATGAACAAATGGAAGAATATACTATGTTCATGGATTGGTAGAATCAACATCATTAAAATGTCCATACTACCCAAAGCAATCTATAAATTCAATGCAATCGCCATTAAAATGCCAATA